GCTGATGGTCCTTCTTGAGCATGTGATCAGCTGGTTTTGGTTGTCAGCAGCAAAACTGGTTGATCCACTCTGAGGCGGTGCTATTTAAGAGACTGAGCTGAATACAGCTCCTCAGACTGAGGAAGTCTCTCGGACGAGAGACGAAACGTTTCTACATTTTTTTGTTGATTTGCTTTGTTGTTGTTTTTTTTTTTTTTTTTAATGTCCAGAGGACCAGATTTAACTTTTTTAGATTACAGTAAAAAAACAAGTACCCCCTACCACTCATGACATCAGCTTTTGATCTGATTCAAGGAGCTACCATTTTCACAAAACTGAATTTAAGAAATGTGTACCACCTGGTTCTTATCAAGGAGGGAGATGAACGGAACACTACCTTCAGCTGCCTCAAGTTTATCCCCCTTCTACACAATTTATGGATTCCAACCACCTGTGTTTTCTGTTCAGGTGAGAGAGGCTCAAGTCCTGCCCACCCACACTTAGGTGCCAGCGGACCTGGAGAAGAGTCAGGAGAGCTCTTGTAAAATCATCTGCTGTCTATATCAGGGTGCCAACAAACGTTGCTCCCAAAACCCACCCTACCAGGTGGGCCAGAAGGTCTGGCTTTATACAAATGACATTTCTCTCAGGCTGGAGTCCCATAAACTAGCACCTCACTGCTTGGGTCCTTCTCCACAGCCAAGGTTATCAACGCAGTGGTGGTACGCCTTCAACTGCCTCATTCCATCAAGGTACACCCGACCTTCTACGTTTCCAGGGTTAAACCCTTGCTGTCTTCACAATTTGGGCCTTCCTCTGTGCCCTCACCCCCCACCCGACTGATTAATGGGGCTCAGGCCTTCACAGTCAGGAGACTGCTCTGCTCCAGGCAGTGGTGTTGAGGTTACCATTACCTGGTGGATTAGGAGGGCTACGGGCCTGAGGAGTGGTCATGGGTGCCCGCCTGCACTCATTTGTGACATCCATAGTGCCCAGACTGGAGATCCATCAGGAGACGGACTTTAGGAGTGGGGCTATGTCACACTTCTGCTCCAGCCTGCCATGTTCTGTTTATCTTCATGCCCTGGTTTATGTTATCAAACCCCTGTGTTGTCTATCACTCATTCTTCAACTCTTCCTGCTCTGCTCACTCCATGCCACACCCCATTATTTTTTTCTCTGCAATCACTGTTAATGCCTACTGTTCACCTGCTCACTGCCCTATTTAAGCCTCAGCTTCTCAGTCCTCCAGTGCCAGATTATTGAAAACTTCACAGTTAGTAAATATCCAGCGTTCATGCCACATTCTCGTTTGTCTTCATGGTTTTGACCTCTCACCTGCCTCAAGGATTCCTTGACTTGCTCATTCCTCTTCTCTTTGGATTCTCTTTTCTGCTCATGGTAACAACCTCTGCTCCCTTCCCAATGACCATGTCTTCTGGATCTCAAATCAAGTTTGGCTTCAGACCTCTGACCACCCATGCATGAACCTCACCCGTTTCCTAGGACATGCCTTTTGGATCTCCCTCATTGCTGCTCACTGCTCTGCTCTGCAACACAGCTGACTCACCTTCAATGCTGGTGACGTAACACTTACCAACATCTTGAAGGAGTCCCTTCCTCAATTGATGTTGAAGGTTGGTGAAAACCATTTGAACAATCTGAATGCTGTCAAAGAACTCACAATGATTATCTCTCCTATCTCCTCAGATTGTGACGGCCCCAGGACTGATACCTCCACCAGAAGCAGTTAATTGATAACTCTTTTAAACTTGCCTTTTGTCTGTGTTCTGGTTCAAATCCCTGAACCCGGCTCTTGTTAGCTACCCTCAAGACCTGACTTTGGAACAAGTGGAAGATAATGGATGAATGGATGGATGAATGGATGGATAAATGGATGTATAGATGGATGGATGACTATTTCTATGTGCATGCAGTATTCAGTTTTTGTCTATACAACAACTTTTTTCTGAAAGCTGAACACTGTTTGTTACATGAAGCTGCTTTAAGACTTATCAGTCACTGAAGGAAGCTGTCCTTACCTGCAGGGCTGTTGTTCGGGACACACTCCAACTCTTGGACAATGTTGATGTCCAACAACTCAAAAGAGAGTAGATCCTGGTGGATAAGCATTAAAAATAACCATTTAAAGTTATGTTGGACTTTAAATGTAAATATATATTTGCATCTTGTCAAGACAGTTTTATATAAAATCTGTTCTTTAAAGTCCACAGTCTGACTTATGCCCCTTTTCCACTGTCATGGCGCAGGTCGAATATTTCCGGCTTGCCCGGTGTTTAAGGACTTTTCCATTAGTATTTCGTACCGGCTCACCCTCAGTATTCTGGCCCTGCTTCTCAAGGGGTCCAAGCAACCCGAGCCGTGACATCAGAAACACTGTTGGTCACTGATTGGTCGGGGGAAGGAGTCTGTGGAGTCTTTCCAAACAACCCGATCTGCCATTCTCTACCACCTGCCCTTAGTGATAACTCGAGGAGTGTATCTTTTAGTTTTTTGAAGATATAAAAAAACAATAATGTCAAAGCTGTGGTCAAAAGCAAAAGTGCAGGTATTATTGTGCTTGGTGCCGACAAAAAAAGTCAAAGCGAGCTAGATGGAGCGATTGGAGGGTGGTTTGGACACGGCCACTGCTCTACTTGAATCATTTATAGAAGACGGTGAGTGTTTTCTAACTTTAAACATATTTTAAATTACTCATCCCATCGGTTCTGAACATATTTTTAACTAACAAAAAAGGCTGACGCCATAACAGGACAACGTCGGTGCTACGATGCTAAGCTAATTTGCATAAATGCTAAATGTCCTCCGGTCCCGTTTCTCACTGTATTTTATCCAGAACATATTTCAGCGCGTGACGGTTCGTCTCTAAACTTCACATTAAACCCTCCAAGCCTCCCGGCTTCTGCTCCATCAGCAGAATGACAGATCTCCAACACAGCCCAGCTGCACCTCACAGAGCAGCACAACGCTGCAGCCTTCTGTGCTCGGTAAGAACAGATGCAACATGTTCCACATCACTTTATTTGTGCCGATAAGGACTTTCTTTTATTTTATTTTTAAAGTAAATACATAAAATGTTGACTAAATACTGAAAACTTTCCATATGTTGAACATGTGGTGGGATGAAATTATGTGCACAGGGTCCCAGTTACACACAACAAAATGTAAAATAAAAATAGTTATAAGATCTAAGATATGAATTAAGAAAAATATCAACTAAAAAACATCTACTAATAAAACACTAAGCACTAATAGCAGTAAACAATCAAAACAATACGTCAAACAGCAACATGAACTTGAGTTTGTGCAGCCTTATGAATATCTAACTAGGATAATCACTGAAAAATCACATCATGTTGCTGCTGATGTGTTTCATGTTGCTGCTGATGTGTTTCTCATGTTGCTGCTGATCTGTTTCATGTTGCTGCTGATCTGGGGCGGCTGTGGCTGAGTTGTTAGACCAGTCGTCCTCCAATGCGAGAGTTGGGGGTTCGAATCCACCAGCAGTCACATGCTGAAGTGTCCCTGGGCAAGACACTGAACCCCTCATAGCCTCTGATGCGTGTCCCATCGGTGTCTGAATGTGATCTAAAGCTCTGATTAGTCTCATTAGAATGAATTGTTTAATTAGCTTTGTAGAGATCTAGTAGAGTGCTGAATGAATGGGTAAATGAGGACACAGATTGTAGTAAAGAGATTTGAGTATCTTGAAATAAGATAGAAAGGCACTACATAAGTACAGTCCATTTACCATTTATCTGTTTCATGTTGCTGCTGATGTGTTTCATGTTGTTGCTGATCGGTTTCATGTTACTGCTGATCTGTTTCATGTTGCTGCTGATGTGTTTCTCATGTTGTTGCTGATCTGTTTCATGTTACTGCTGATCTGTTTCATGTTACTGCTGATGTGTTTCATGTTGCTGCTGATGTGTTTCATGTTGCTGCT